ATTACACTCCAGCCTGGGCAACAGAGAGAGACTCTATTTCAAAAAACAAAACCAAAAAAACCTACTATGTGTCAGGCACACAGTGATAAACACAACAGACATAGGGGCCAGGCACAGTGGCTCACACCTATAATCCCAGCACTCTGGGAGGCCAAGGCAGGAAGATCGCTTGAGTCCAGGAGTTGGGAGACCAGCTGGGGCAACAAAGCAAGAAACTGTCTCTACAAAAAATTTGAAAATTAGCTAAGTGTGAAAGTTTGCACCTGTGGTCCCAGGTACTCTAGAGGCTTAGGCAGGAAGGAAGGTTGAGGCTGCAGTGAGCTGTGAGAGCACCACTGTGCTCCAACCTGGGGTACAGAAGGAGACCCTGTCTCAAACACGAACAAAAAAAACCAGCACCTATAGTGGAGCAGTGGACGATGTGAGCAGCAGTGAGCTCCAGAAAGAACCAGGAGGACCTCCTGATGGACAGGAAGCGGTAAGAGGCACCAAGGCCAACTCCCTGAGATTTGACCTGGGCAAACTGAGTAACAGTATTACCACTGAAATATGAAGGATAGGGAATGTTAACTTTAAAAAAATAAAAAATCTGGCTGGGCACTGTGGCTCACACCTGTAATCCCAGCACTTTGGGAGGCCGAGGCAGACAGATCATGAGGTCAGGAGATCGAGACTATCCTGGCTAACATGGTGAAACCCCATCTCTATTAAAAATACAAAAAATTAGCTGGTCATGGTGGCAAGTGCCTCTGGTCCTAGCTACTCGGGAGACTGAGGCAGGATAATTGCCTGAACCCAGGAAGCAGAGATTACAGTGAGCCAAGATTGTGTCACTGCACTCCAGCCTGGGCGACTGAGCAAGGCTCTGTCTCAAAAAAATAAAAAATAAAGGCTCAGCGCGGTGGCTCATGCCTGTAATCCCAGCACTTTGGGAGGCCGAGGCTGTTGGATCACGAGGTCAGGAGTTTGAGACCAGCCTGACCAACATGGTCTCTACGAAAATTACAAAAATTAGCTGGGCGTGGTGGCAGGTGCCTGTAATCCCAGCTACTTAGGAAGCTGAGGCAGGAGAACTGCCTGAACCTGGGAGGCGGAGGTTGCAGTGAGCCAAGATCGTGCCACTGCACTCCAGACTGGGCAACACAGTGAGACCTTGTCTCAAAAATAAATAAATAAATAATCTATAAAGTTAGAAAGCAGACTTTATTTCTTATAATGGGTTACAGCCTAAAGTGGCCATTCAGCAGGCTGGAAGCATGGCCCCCAGCTGAATCCCAGAGACAGGCACTTTGAAGTAGGAGGGGCTGGAGCAGGAAGAGCCTTATGCTGAATAAGTCAGTTAATCAAGTCAATCATAAATATTCAACAGGTTAAAGGATCTCTGAATATTCATAAAGATAGTCCTCACATACGCATAATAAATA